AAAAAAAAAAAAAAAAAAAAAAAAAAAAAACATTGTATTTCGTTTTCCCCCATCTTAAAAGTGTACCTTAAAAACGATGAAAAAAACAGAAGAAATTAAAATCACATTGAAAATTCTGCTACGTTTAAAAAAAAAATAAACTTTTTTTTACTACCTAACCAAAATACCGCTACTGATTGTTGAACAACAAATTTTTTATCAGTCCTCTATTTCACATCACAATTTTCTTCATCAGTTAACCAAATGCATATAACTGTCAGTAAATAATAATATGACAAAAAACTTTATTAATTTAAATTACAGTATTTAACAAAAAAAATAATAATAAAGTATCATTTTGTTTATATCTTTTACCTCCATCCAGAAATGAATGCTGATAGGACAACTAAGACTGTGGTGGAATAACAGTAGTTGAACCGATCGGACAGATCGCCATCAGCATACGGAGCAACTGCTCGAAGTAAATTTCGAACTAAATCCATGCAATTTTATCCGTCGGATGATGTTGTTGTGTTGCTGCCAATGTTGCTGCTGCTACTGATGCTGCCGATGTTGGTGATGCTGTTGATGTTGCTGATGCTGATGCTGATGCTGTTAGTGGTTATCGTTCACCGCCACAGCTGTCGTCGTTCAACCACACTTTTCCAAATACAGAAACTATATGTTACAACCATTTTCTCTTAACTCTCCTCTAAAAAACTTAAATTTTTTATTTTCCTTTCACATTCTCAACTCTCCTCTGAAAGTTGTGTTCAATTTAACTATTTTTCTTTTTTTCTTTACGCTCACCAACATTGCCGATGTGTCATTGAAATGTGTAGTTGTCTGTATTGGTGAATAGATCAAAATTTGGAATTGTTAATGATGGTGCCCCTTGTTATTGTCGTTGTTGATGTTGATGTTACCGCTGTCGCTGTTGTCGCTGTGTTTGGAGGCATAGCGTTAAATCGTCCTTGTCCCGAGTTGTTTTAAATAACAGAAAAAAATAGAGAGGAAAAAAAAACGAGGAGGTAAAGAGAGTGAAGGTTTAGTAAAGGGAGAGTTGGTGAAAGGGAATTGGAGGAAGGGGAAAAGTGCGGGTAGCTGAAAGGGACTAACTGCTTGGTGGGCAGGGGAGGGACCGATAAAAGGGCACACTTGGAATAAACCGGAGGGGGTTGAAGTGATTGGGTCTACGACGACAATGCGAAAGCCGGTTGTCTTAATAGTTTTAGGAAAACGCTTTTAACACTGTAGGTGTAGCAATTTGAGGACAACCAAATTTGACACATTAACAGCAGCAGTATACAGCGCTGAAGACATAAACCCAAATATTTTGATGCAGAAATTATTTGGACAAAAAAAATTGTAATGGGTATACACTGAAACAACGTATATACGTATGTTGCGATGTCAAACACTGAAAAATCACTATTTTTTATGATCTATTGATGTAAACATTTTTTTAACCAGCCTATTATTATGGTTACTATTGGTATTAGATCTATTTCGTGGTAACAACAATAATATTTAACTAATACAATATTTAGCTTGATCACTCAACAACTTTTCTTTCTCCCTCGTTCCCTTACAGTGTTTGCCAACAGATCGATAAACTATAACAACAACAACAAAAAAAAATCATTATAGCATGACTGCTAATCGTAAAAAAATGCTATTTTTTCTCTTTCATTTTACACCGTCCTTGTAGCATCCGGCTCAGATTTCTAAGCTCCCGGATAATCTGTTAAAATTTTTACCTTATTTTCTGCAAAAGGGATGAAAAAAGGAAAAGACATCAATAATAACAAATTCGTTTCAATCAGCGTGTTATTTGGTTTGAGCGTGTTATTTGGTTTGTAGTTTTGCACACTGGAGGATTCTGTTTCAACATATTACCAAAAATACAGCTAGTTAGGCGACCTTATCGTATTGGCCTGTTCCCTTCTCCGAAATAATCACTCTAAAAATGCATATAGTATTTGTTCTCTTGTAGATCTTTATTGAGATATGCCAACTTTCAACAAAACGTTAGACAACAACAAAAATATGTTTTTCTTTCTTCTCTAGCGTGTATAAATAAATGGAAGAAAAAAAGTAATTTTTACTACCAAGTATATAAATAAAATGAAATTTTACGGCTTTCTTAATTGTTCAGCAAAACTTTTTTTTGTTATAGTAAATATAGAGGCGTACAAGATATAAATGAAAGGAGAAGGAAAGCCAAAGTGGCGGGGTAAGATGTGCAAAAGAAGGAGTCTTTTTGACCTCTTAGAAGACTATAGTGTAAGTTCCAATCGAGTTAATCAAAAAAATTGTTGTTAAATTTTTAAAGAAATGAGGACAAGAAAAAGGAAACAATCTTTAACAGATGTACATATCTGCACAAATACGTTCTAAGTTGCCTCATCAACCGATGTCTATCGCTGACACATACAGTTCTGTTGTTTGTCAATCATAACCAAATTATACATCCACCAACAATTATTACATTTTTTTCCTTTCATCTTCATTTTGCTCCTAACATATTTTGTCCATTTCTATTTGAAGCCAAAAATTTTGGTCAACAAAGCATTCTGAAACAAAATAAAGCGGAGACAAAAGTACTTCTTAAGCATTTTTTGCGTCATCCCTCCTCTGTCTGCTTCGCCTCAACAGCATTGAACGCAAAAGCAAAAAACCGTTTCACTCGCAAGGTTATGTTTTTGTCCAAATTTTGCTTGAGAGAATTAATGGCTGCTAACGTTGCATTTGTTAATCACTGGAGGTTAACGAAGCAATACCGTATTCTGCTCGAAATCAGGCAGTAATTTAGCAGCAGCGTTGGTAGCCGAACAAGAAGCGCGAGAAACTGTAGTTAGCGAATAAATTTAATGCTATTTGGCTGCAAGCAAAAGCGTACAGCTTTAAAGCTAACCTCTTTACCGTATCGCAGCAGCACAGGTTTCCGCTGTGGCACAGTGCTGCTACATCTTTTCAAAATGTTGCTCCTTTTTTCAAATAGAAATTTTGCCATCCTCTGCTATCGTGAATCCATTCATTCCAATCGTATCACTTTTTCTTGCCCTTTAGTCATTTACGCTTATCAGCAACTGCATTGATAGAAGCTGTTAAAAGCTGTGAAAAAACTTTAAAATTTTACAGTTTGTCACGTAATGCTTAGGTTTTCACATCAATCAAAGTTTGTATCATTGTTCAAATTCTGAAATTCATCACAGTAAACGGAGGTCATTTGAATATTTTTATTGACCCTTAAGACCCCCAGGTTGTTTCCAGAGATTCCACCGTTTACTGCTGAAAATCACTGCTTTAGCTGGCACGGTCTGAATGATATCATCAAAGTGAAGTAATTGTTAAAGGCATAACCCTTTCTTTAATCAACATCAGTCGTATCAAATTGTCGTGACATGGAAAACTTTTTGCTTTAACTTTTGGTATATCTTTATGCTTAAACATCTATTATTATCTGAAAAATAATTCTAGCAAAGAGATCTTTTGACGTTCTGTTACTGATTAGTCGACCGTAACATAACTGTCATTTTATTATGCTCTATTTTTGAGTGGTCAATACGTATTACATCGGAGAGAATGTTGTTAATAGCTTAGATGCTAAAAGAAGTATTTTAAACGAAGGCTTATGTTTGCCCATCTTTTGATGTTTTCAATTACAAAGTGACACCTATTAAACTGTTTACCTTACTGTTCGTCTTCGGAGAATTTCAACAAAGATTGTAGAAAAACATCTCCGTGACATGATAGAATCATTGAAGTCTTGTTTCAATCACATCACCATCGTAATCATCATCTACGGCTTTTTTTCTTATATTAAAAGAAAGATTTAGTGATAGTTTTCAACTTTTCAAAAAAAAAGCGGCAAAATAGTCGAAGTTTATTTGAATGTTTTCTTCTGAGTGATATCATTTTTTCAAATTATAAATCATTTTAGCTTTCAAAATGTGTGAATTTTGAACTATAGATCATATCATCCAAACGGTACATGTTATCGAAACGATCGAAATGATGCCAACTGTTCTTTCAGAACCGAAACAAACTTTGCGTGCCATTTTAGCGACAGTTTTGTTGGCACTTACACAGAGTTAAAAACAGAAAAGTTGTAC